CTACATTCCAAAGGATGATGGACCAGCTTTTCCAAAGGCTTAGCTTCGTGAGAGTTTACTTAGACGACGTAGTCGTCTTCTCGAAGTCCGTTGAAGAGCACACCTCACACTTACGTGAAGTCTGCAAGGTGATTGCTACGAACAGGATGAAGCTTAAGATCTCAAAATGCAGCTTCGCACAGTCCCAAACGCGACTGCTTGGACACATAGTCACCGGAGATGCCGTCAAAGTGGACCCCGAAAAGGTCAGCGCCATTAAGAGGGAGAAGGAGCCGTCCAATGCGACAGGGCCTCGTAGCTTCCTTGGTCTGGCGGGATACTACCGCCGCTTCATTCCTAAGTTCGCCGAGATCTCTGCTCCGTTACATGAGGCCACGTCTACTAAACGGACTTTTAAGTGGACGGCGAAGATGCAGGAGGCATTCGAGAAGCTTAAGCTCAAGTTAACCTCCCCGCCAGTCTTGGCGTTCCGGACTTCGAACAACCTTTTGTCGTGGAGACCGATGCATCCTCCGTCGCCGTCGGAGCTGTTATGGCCCAACGAAAAGAGAACAGGAAAGTCCACTCTATCCAGTAGGCAAGTCGCACGATGAAGTCAGCCGAGAGGAAGTATTCCGCCTGTGAGCGACAGGCCTGGCTGTGATCTTCGCTTTGAAGAAGTTCCGAGTTTACCTGCCTTCAACACAGAAGTTCACGCTAATAACAGACCACCGAGCCCTGCAGTATGCCTTTAAGAAGAAAGACATTCACGGGAGGTTGGCAAGGTGGATGGACTTCCTAGCAGAATACGAATTCGAAATTAAGTACCGCCCGGGAGGAAAGAACGGTGCAGCTGACTTCCTGTCCCGCCTGAAAGCCAATGGCGAGGATGGAGTCGACTCTGACGACGATGGAGATCTTTTCTGCAGTGTTTGGGATCCTCTAGAGGCGCAAATGGAGTGGGAACCCCATCTTATTGGCATTTCAAGGCACCTCGGGGGTATCGATATGAGGGAAGTGGATGTTCGTCGACGTCGGCTCAACTGCGGAAGCGCCAAACGTTTCATGGCTTGTAATGGACAACTGTTCCGTAGGACCAACAATAGATTACGCGCTATCCCGCCTATAGGGGCTCGCAGAAAGATCGTTAGAGCCTTTCACGACGAAAGAGGCCACTGGGATCTGCAAACGACGAAGAGATTCGTCTTGGACCGATATTGGTGGCCTGCCGTCCACCGAGACGTGAACGACTACGTTCGGGGTTGTGAAGGTTGTCAGAAAGCCCCACCAATTCCGAAGTACAAGACCACCCTTCGATTTCCCATGACTTCGTTATTTGATACATACTCTATTGATTTTGCGGGACCATTGCCTCGTACGCCCTCTGGAGGGAAGTACATCCTTATTTCGGTGGAGCACCTGACTGGCTGGCCAATTGCGAAGGGCACCGTCACCTCGACGGCAGAGGAGGTGCTGAAGTTCGTGAAAGAAGAGATAATCCACTGTTTTGGGTTACTACGTGTCGTTGTCTCGGACAACGCTACTTGTTTCACAGCGTCGGTCCTGAATGCCTTCATGGCACGAAACGGGATTAAGGGGAAGACAGTGCTCGCCTATGCGCCTATGTCGAACGGACGGGCAGAGCGGATGGTCGGCACATTGAAGAGAGCAGTCCGTAAGATGATTCTCCGTGCCTCGCCTGCAATTGTTGAGTGGGACGATGCTTTACGTCAAGTCCTATATAGATACCGTCGCAGGAGGATGGCGGTGGGATTTTCCACGTTCGAGCTGCTTTATGGGGTGTTGCCCAGGATGGTGCCTGGTGACCAAGAGCCTCTCTTCGAAGTCTCTGAGATCCGCCATCGGGAAATGGAACTCCCGCAAGCCAGGGCGATGCGGGCAACAAGAATAATCGGGCGCAGAGCTGCAACCACATTAACAGATGGTCGCGAAGCAACTTTCAATGTGGGCGACGAAGTGTTGGTCGCAAAAGGGGCTGCCCTCAGGCCCATGCAGAAATGGCCTATCGCCTTGTCGAAGTTCTATGGCCCATGCCGAGTTGCTCGTGCGTGCCATCCGCGGTGCACCCTAGTGTCGCCGCATCAACGCTACTCGAGAAGGGAGATACATGCCAGAAGGCTGGTCCTCGACAAGAGGCAACCGTTGCACTCTCAGTGAGGCAAATGACTAGGGATTTTTACGCTTTGAATTGAAAGATAGTGAAATGCATATGAAGTGCTGATTACTTGCTACGAGTAGATAGAGAGTGGGTCATGGAGACAATGGGAATCACCAATGACCTCTAATGCTGAATGGAACTTCCCGAACCCCGCATCGCGGCTTTCTTGTGTGCTCTGCGGCTGCTTACGCGTCCAATTCTGCTCCGTTTCTTCTTGGAAGGGGTGACGACGAGAACTCGGTGCAGTTCGGAGACGCCGACGAAGATCCCGTCGGCTCCAACGCATGCTTTGACCGCGTCGGCACAGAACCGAAGCGGAAACCCCTCCATACAATCAAGTACAATGGAATGTATGGTCGAGACGCAGATGCTGTGCATTATGTGGGGCAAGCCTTCTAAAGTCGCGACATAGACACCCGGGTCGAGCCTCAAGAGGAGTCCGAGAGATGGACTACGAAGACCCGACCCGCGGAGAGTGACTTCATCTTGATTAAGGTGTTTTGCAGCGTCATGGAAATCTCGGATTCGACGCGACGGAGAGCCGGTCCTCTCAAAGAGGAGGCTGTTGCGGACTAAAAGATCCCAGTACTTGACGGTAAGGTTCGGGGACCATAGTAGTTGGAGACCGTTGCAGACCGCGGCGGAGATGCACATGTCACTATTATCTCAGAACCGCACGGTCCCGTGTGTGGAAACGCGGTAGATCGGAGTCTGAGGATTGACCGCCCTGGAACGACCATGGATCATCTTCAGACTCCTGCCCTTTTGATCGGTGCAAAAACGGTCAATACTTAAGAAGCCACTAATTCGGTCTCTCCCACCAAACTCGAAGAGATCGTCAACAATCTTGTGAGTTGCACTATTCCCGGTTCCGGAAATTGCTAGAGTGTAGAGCAAAATACGGTGAGGAAGGTTGGTTGCGGCGTCGACGCCATAGTACGTGTTTTCAACGTCGAGATAGATGGACTCAATATTCCACTCACCGTCGCCTATAAGACAGTACTGGTTTGTGTCCGACAACGACTCTGTGATACCAAGACGCCATGTCTCTTTGAGAGAAACCTCTTCACCCTGCTGGCGGTGGAGCAGGGCGGTAACATGATCTCCTAGAAGGCTTTTGAACTCTTGTTCTGTTGCGGCGTAACGGTGATGCCCGCTGGCCACCCAAATGTGGAATATGGAGCCCGTCTTGGAAACCTTGGTTACATCTGTTCGAGATGAGAGCTCGAACATTAAATGGCCGCGGCTGGAGACGCGTGCAGCTTTCAGAGCGAGCCGCTTCCGCGGACGCGTACCTCCCGTGCTCTTCGCCGCTGTCTGCTTGGTCCTCACCATCGTATTACGCTATGAGCGGGGCCAAAGAGGGCACGCAGGGACTGAAACCCCACCTGCGTGCTTCTCGATTTGGTGGGAAACAGGAGGTCTAAGCTACGACGAGGCCCAAGGAGGCAACGCGGAAGAGCCGCGAGAGCTAAGCAGCGCAGGAAGCAGGAGGCCGGAAGAGCTAAAACGAGGCTGGGATGGAGCGAGAAAGGCGAACGGAGAGTGACAGCAGATACCACAAGAAGGGAAGGGGGTCCGAGCCCCAGCTCTCTGTTGATATAGGCTGGAGGGTGAAGAAAAATCAAAATCAAAGGCAAAATCTGAGTGGCCGGGGCCCGTGGCCCCGCCTAAGTGGGGGGTTGTGTGACACGTGGTTGGGACCGGTGTAAGTAATTGGAAGTTTAAGTTAGTAATTGTAGACCGTGCGCAAAAAGAGTATAAATGTGGTGGTTTTCGGTCGTCCTGTACGGCCGAGGGCAGACACATCACAAAAAAAACACACACGGGTAAGACACCGGACGACGTACCCCGTTTTCGCCCCAACACTCCTCATAAGTGATATGAAGGACGTGTGAAGAGCTCTTACTATCTCAAAAAAAAGGTTGAATACAGTTGTTACAATCTAGAGCTAGACGATGGTAGCAAAATTCCGGCTGGCAAACATTTTGTGTGTGTGTACGGTGATTCGAAGTAGCCCAGTTTCAAAAGACTGCGAAACCAAATACCACGGCTTCTACTGAGCAATAGACAATGGATGTCATATCAACGAAAGGCAGAATGCGAGAAAACCACGTTACATTTCACGCAGTACGTCGCGAGCAGCAGTGTTAATAGAAAAAAGAGTGATTCTATGAGGTTCATGCGGAACAAGTGTGAAGGGCACTACCTACTAGCTCAAAACCCCTATTTGAATGGTAACATATGTTGCAAAATGCAACTGCACATACTGTAACTGTGTTGAGCTTTCTCATCTTTGCTTTATCCTGACTGGTACAGCCGCCTCTTCCTAACTAGAGGTAGGACGGGTGTAGCGGACACCACCATAGGCTTTGTGGAATGCTCAGACAAGCATGTGTAGGGTAGTGTGGGCATGGTCGATCTGGCGTTGGGGATGTGATATTGGAACTGAAAGTAGTTCATATTGATTCGGGGCTGCACACGGGAAATGGTCTTCACCTTGTTGTTGATGCGAGTTGATGTTCGCTGATGTCAGCGCGAGTTCATGTTGACATGAACTCGCTTGCATCGGTAGTCCTACGAAGGTCGAAAGAGGGGCGGAGCTGTAGTCCCAAAGTAAGGGATGTCGCCAATAAAGACAGCGCGGATATGAATGCAAGAACTCTGCCGGAATACCTACGTTATGCTCTCTTTGCACAAGTTGAGCTATCGAAATATTGATAATGTCGACAGCAAGGAAAGATCAAAAACTGCCTCTGATATGGACAACTTTCCCCGATCTCCATAGCTAGCAGGTGCCGTCCATGTCAGCCAGCTCCCTTTACGTCTTGCTACCGACAATATGGCGAACAAGACAGACACCTACGCCCTGCACTCGCGCGGCACTGATCCGCAGAATCTCCTGGAGCCATCGCTCCGCCACAGCGTGTACCTCTCGCGCTTCTGGAACGAATCCTGTTTCGGCGTGACACTAGCCGACGTTGTTCCCCTCGCCGCTCGGCTTGACCGTATCTCTGCCGTCACCGCCCCTCCCACCCCCTTTCTCTGCCTCCTCCTCAAGCTGCTACAGCTCTCCCCCGAGGAGCCCGAGATCGCCGTGTTTCTTACGCAAAACGACTTTAAATACGCGCGCCTGCTCGGAGCCTTCTACGTGCGGCTCGCCCTACCGCCCCCACGCGTATATGCATTGCTTGAGCCGTTGCTGGCGGACTTACGGAAGATCGTTGTTAGAGAAGGAGCATCCGCGGAGCATGCTATCGTTCATGTCGATGAGCTCATCGACCGCCTCCTGCGAGAACATCTCGTTGTTGGCATCACGCTGCCGCGCTTACCGCCCAGGCATGTCGTCGAGGAGAGCTTTGTCCAGCTGCCACCTCGACCTCAGCTTCTGCAAGGCTTGTAGGCAATGGGCGTCAGCGCGGATGCCGCGCATAAATCCGTAGATGTGACACTTGATCGGAAGATACCGTGATGTCAGGCTCGGTATACTGAAACGATGCTTCGAGCACGGCTAGCGCAGTGCACATGGAAAACTCGCCAAGCACTTCCGGAACGGGTTCCTCGCGAAACGAGAAGTGCCCTATCGTCAGCGTAGCTGTTTCTCCCAGCGCAATCATGGTCTCCGCTCGCTCGTTTGCCTTGTCGGCATTCGCTACTGTGACAAAAAGGTCTCCGCGTCGCCGTTTGTTACCAATGACGACAGACACAGCCCCCTGCTGCGCGCTCTGGCACGCATGTTGGATCCATGCGGCAATATCCGGCGCAACCTGACACGCCTCCTTCGTCTCCGCGCTTCCGAATGGGGAGCCGATACGCACCTTTGCTTGCGGGACACGTCGTCGCGCGGAGACCTCGCACTTGCGCCACGTGGTGCTGCACACCCTCTCCTCGATTTCGAGAAAGCTGTCGAGCTTCTCCTCCGCCATGAAAGCGTCGATGTCGCCTTCGGGGCGCCCCTGCAGACTGGTCCACTCCACCATTTCCATCTCCGGCATCCACTGACTGAAGACGCGTTTCTCTTTTTCGGCCTGCCATTTGGCGAAGCGCTGCGCCGCAGTAGACGAGTTGCCCGCGTTCGGAGGCTTCTGATCAGACTCTTCTTGGCGTTGTACTTTGGGCAAGCTGGACTTGCGCTCGGCTGTCTGGGCGACGGGGGCGGAAGCGTCCTCCGGGGCGGAATGTTGGGGGTCGCGTTGCGCGGCGAAGCGGGCGTGAAGCTGGCGAATCTCAGCGGAGATCCACGGATACGGGTCGCCATCGCGTTGGAGTAGGCCGGAGATGTCGGAGATGCCTACGGAGGAAGTGGACCAGTTGCAGGTCGGGCATCGCAGCTTGCTGAGTTTGATGAGGGAGTCGGGACAGACCGGGCAGAAGAACTGCTTGGCCGCGCGGGAAGAGCGGCGTTCGGTGACGATGTCGGCGGAGAGAAACGAGAAGAAGCGACCGGTAGAGGTGCAGTAGTGGAGATCGCGGAGATGGGCGGCGTCGGACTCGGGGGCAGCCTCGGCCGCGTGCAGGGGGGCAAAAAGGAGACGGGCCGGGAGCCCGGGGGGGTCGTCCGGCATGAAGCGCTGGTGTTTGGTAAGGGAGAGCGCAGGGCTGCGGTGGTTGAAGATAAGGCTTTGGGAGCTTTGTTATGTAAGGAATGGGCAGCATTTATGCACAAGGACAGGACAGGAAACGAAAATTGAAAATCGCGCCTCTCTATGAACGATCGCCTCGCGAAAACAGTCCATCTGTCGTCAACTCTCGACTCTTCTCGCAAGGCGACTAAAGAAGGCGCGAGCTCCTCGTCCTGACGCTCTCGCCATTCCGATCACGCCCTCCCCCCGACATTTGCAATGCCCCATTCCCAGGGGCGGCACTAACCTAGTAAAGACAGCGACCTAACTTGGCTAACGGTACATACTTTCATTCTCGATATTCTTCGCGATCTCGCTCTCCCAGCGATCGCCATTAGCGAGTAGCTTCTCCTTGTTATACAGCAGCTCCTCATGCGTCTCCGTAGCATATTCATAATTGGGCCCTTCGACAATGGCATCAACGGGGCAAGCTTCTTGGCACGCGCCGCAGAAGATGCACTTGGTCATATCAATATCATAGCGCGTCGTCCTCCTGGAGCCATCCGGGCGCGGCTCGGCCTCGATCGTGATAGCCTGCGCGGGGCATACGGCCTCGCACAGCTTGCACGCGATGCATCTCTCCTCGCCTGAGGCGTACCTGCGCAGCGCGTGCTCGCCGCGGAAGCGCGGCGACAGCGGCCCCTTCTCCATGGGGTAGTTGAGCGTGACCTTGGGCTGGAAGAAGTACTGCAGGGCCAGCGCCATGCCGCGCATCATCTCCGTCATGAAGAGCGCCTCGGACGTCTTGCGCACGACTGGGGACGGGGGCGGTTAGCGCGGTCCGGCGACGTGGGCGGGGTCGGCGTTTGGAGTGCGATACGTACGGGAGGCGGTGTCCGTCGCCATCGGCGTTTGCGGTGTCGACGGCTGCGTCAGCGGGCGGTCGCCCTCGTTGCGCGGCGGCGTCGCGGAGAAGAAGGTGCGGGCGAGGTGCGGGAGTGCTCTGTACGGCGCGCGCGGCGCGGCCGCGGCGCGGGCGGCGACAAGGGGAAGCATGGCTGAGGTAGGTAGGTTCGGACGGTGGTCAAGGGGGGGATGGGGAAAGTGGATGGGAGGTTGATGGTTGAAACGTATGAGTTAATTGAGTGAGTGAGGTAACTACATATAGCGAATTGTATTTCAATGAAGTGAACTTCACGACTTACAGTGCTTACAGAGTGACGATGACGGTGGCGGACTGGGATAGCGTTTCTCGTGGGGAGGCGGAATGAGCAAAGTGCTCCCTCTCCGTCACCTCTATCTCGCCATTCCCCGTCACCTTCTTGTTCGCCCTCCTTACCAACCGCCTCAGCCCTTGATTCACAGCGACCCCACCCAACCGATGCTCGCCTTCCTCGTCCCTCTCTCTCTTTCCCCCCTCCCCCCTCTGCCCACCCCCCGTGCCGCGCCCCGTCCCCCGCGCCGCTTGATCCCGCAAGCCACCGCCGTTACCCCTTCCACCAGCCCTGCCCCCTCCCCCGCCGCCCCCCTCTTCAACTGGTACGACCAATGGTACCCTCTCGCCCCCCTCTCCGACCTCTGCCCTACCCCCACGCGCATCGTCCTGCTTTCCACCCCCCTCGTCGTGTGGCGAGCGGCCGCGGCCTGGTCTGTCTTCCATGACCGCTGCCCGCATCGCCTAGCCGCCCTCTCCGAAGGCGTACGTACCCGCACCCTTCCCCCCACTCCCCGACTCTCCCGGCCCCTCGCTAACTTACTCCCTTCCGCAGCGCCTTGCCGAAGACGGCACGCTCGAGTGCGCCTACCACGGCTGGCGCTTCTCCCCCTCCGGCGCGTGCGCGCGCATCCCGCAGCTCGGTCCGGTCCGGTCGCCCCGCGCGTGCGCGAAAGCCCTGCCCGTGCTCGAGCGCGGAGGCCTGCTGTTCGTGTGGATGGGCGCGCGTGCGCCGCGCGTAGACGAGACCCCGCACTCGCTCGAGGGCGATGCCCGCGCACGCTTCGTGCACAGCTGCTTCCAACGCACCCTCCCGCTCTGCTTCTCCACCCTCCTGCAGAACGTCCTCGACCCCGCGCATGTACGTATTCACTCGCACATGCGCACGCCTGCGCCGCCGCCTCGCTCTAGATGCTCGTCGCTAACAATCACACCCCCGCGCGCTGCACAGATCCACTTCGCGCACCACGGCTTTCTGGGCGATCGCGCGCAGGCCGCCCCGATCCCCATCCGCGTCCTGTCGTCCTCCGCCGCTGGCTTCACGGCCGACTACGACGCCGGCAACGTCCGCCTGCGCTTCCTGCCGCCGTGTCTGGTTGAGATCGTCACGTCGACGGGGCAATCCTTCCTGTACTATGCCGTCCCCGTGCGCGCGGGCCTGGTGCGCACCATTGCCATCCGCGCCTCTGCGCGCCGCGTGCTCTTCCGCGCCCCGGCCTGGGCTGACCACATGCGGCGCAACTTGCTACTCGAGCAGGACCTGCAGCTCATGCGCACGCAGCAAGAGGCCATGCGCACCGACGCCGAAAGCGAAGGGCGTCGCGACTACTCGCGCGCGTGGGGCGCGTACCAAATGCCGGCGAGCGCGGACCGCCTTGTGGTGGAAATGCGTCGCTGGCTGGAGAACCACGCGCCCGAGGGGGAGGAGTGGTTCGCGTTTGGCGAGGGCGAGGTGGAGGAGGCGGGCATGCGGATGGAGGGGCATGTCAAGACTTGCGCTGTGTGTGCGCGCGCGCTCAAGTCGCTAGACGCCGCCACCGTCGCCGCCAAGGGTGTGGCCGCGGGCGCGGCGGTCGTCAGCGTGTTGGCCCCGGAGCATGCGCAGCGCGTGGCTTGCCTCGTGCCGACGGTGATTGCGGCGGCCGTTTGGGCTGCGTGCGCCCGTCTCCGCCGCGGGTTTGAATAGCGGTGGTGGCGCATCACAAGGGATTCTCGAGTTCTGGCCGTAGCGTGTGCGGCTAGGTCCGCCGGCTATGCTCGACGCAAATTCCGTCCTTCGTAGGTTGCGCGTACGTAGCAGATACAAAGATGACGTCGTCACTGGCTTCTGAGTCGCTCCCGCGTCTCTTGCGGCTTACCTCGTCCTCGAGGTTCAAAAAATCGCCTGCGAGGCATCTGACGGCACGTTCAAAGGTGGGATCATGGAGCAGCGTGGGCGACGAGCGCTTGCGCTTCTTCAAAAGCGCGTTAGGCATGCGGGTGGAAGTTGCGAACTCGTCGGAGAGAAGGCGGGCGCGCCACGAGAGAAGTTGTAGACGGCGGGGGCGCAAGATGGGGGGGTTGCGGGCTGTGCGCTGGAGCGAGGAGAGGGGGACCAGTGGGGGGGAGCCCATGAAAAGGTCCGACTCGGACACGGTGAGGACGGGGCTGGGCGAATAGGAAGGGGATGCGAGGTCGAGGGGGTTCATGGCGGCGGCGTTCGTGACGGCGGTCGGGGATGGAGGGCTGCGCGGAAGGCGGCCCGAAATTTATGAGTGGAACGGATCGACTTTTGCAAAGCGGGGACAGGTCGGGATGCGGAGGTTGAGTACGGTTGGTCGCCGCACGTGCGAAACGGGTCGAAGGCGGACATGGCGGCGGTGAAGAAGCACTGCCACGCGTGGTACGGGGAGACTGGCAAGCAACTGTGAGGTGTTCCCAAAAGGCATTGAGGCGGTGAGATGATCCCCCAGCGAGAGCGAATAGGGCCTTCTCCCGCCAAACGCAATTTGGCACATTTCCATCCTACAAGGCCCCCTCGTCCCCCGGCAAGCGCCCACTCAACCCCGTCGCCACTGCCTGCCATGCTTCCTTCACGGCCCCCCAGCCACGCACAGCCTGCGCCGCCGCCAGCAACTACACCGATGGGCGACAAGGAGACGGCATCTTCCGGCGCGCCCGCGAATGGGCGGGAGCACGCGCCGGCGACGGACACGCGCATCGAGGTGCTGTGGCGCATTGAGAGCGCCGGCGAAGGCGCCGATGCGGAAGACGGCGAGACGGTGGACCGGTGGTGGGGCGCGGTCGTACACGCGTGCACGGAGGAAACGGCGGGCGCGCGCGTCAAGACCGAGTGGGCGCACGCGCGCGTGTACGAGCTGCGTTACGACGCGTGGGGAGAGTTTGCGGAGGACACCGCGCGTGTGGCGTTCGTGTCGCGCAGGAGCTTAGTGGACTTGGCAAGGCTGCAAGACGAGAACGATGGGGTGCTGGACTGGCGCGTCGAAGGCGGAGACCTATCCATGAAGGAGGTGGCGGAGGAGAATGAGGCGCTGGTGTCACAGATGGGGCTCAGTAGCGACGCGGATCTGGCCGTGTTGAGCCAGTATCCGGCACACGTGCAGATCGACGTGGCGAGTGGGTATCGTGAGTTTGCTGATGGCGTCAAGGAGATGCTCGGCGAGCTGGTGGCAAGTAAGCCTAGCGGGTACGTAGTGACAGAGAGTGATGTGCAGGGGATTTTTGAAAAGATACAAAAGACGAAGCCTGGCAGCGTCAACGTCGGCATGTAGAAGTGCTTGTGTAGAGAGGTTCAGTAGAGGCTACGGGCTTGTGTAGAGTCAAGTCTTCTTAAAGGTGTATCTGCCGGTGCGTGTTCGGCCTAAGTTATACAAATCTCCGGCTCATCACTGCCCTCCCCCCCCGCGTTACTTTGCGTACTTCCGGAGCAAGTAGGCGAGCCCGACGAGGACGATCGGCAGCACCCAGCCGGCGATGGTCTTTAACATTGCGCTTCCCGCATCGGCAGCGGCGGGCTTCTCCCCGCTCTTGCGCGCCTCGTCCTCGGCGCGCTCGGTCTCCTCGGGCGTGGGGTCGCGCAGCGTGCCGATGAGCAGGTCCTCCAGCTGCGCGCGTGCCTCGCCGGAGTGGCCCACGTCCTCGAACTCGCGCGTGGCGTCGCGCCCGGACGACTCGACCACGATATCGTCGCCTCCTGGGTGCTCCAGCAGGAAGTCCGTGGTGTCGTACACCTTGCCGTCGATCACTAGCCAGCAAGAATCGGCCGTTGAGTGGCGTGCGACCTGCAGGGGGGAAGGGGGACCTGGTCAGTTGGTGATTTCCGCGCCGGGTAGAGGGTTGTTATGGCGGGGGGTGTGCGAACAGGGGCGTGGCGTGACTTACCTCGATCATCGGGTACTCTTTCATGTCCGGCATTGTTGCTCAAAGTGACGGTGCGGGGGATAGTTCAGTGATGCGCGGCGGGAAGAGGAGATGAATACAGAGATGAATACAGAACGGGGTGAGGTCTAGTGGGAGACTGCGAGATGGTAGAGAAGACTGAACAACGGGGGGCGTGCGTGCTCGGATGCGGACGGAGGCGGCGAGGAGGCGATCTTGCGGCAGCCGTGCAACGCGGCCAATCGACACGTTTCACTGCGCCATGTTTCTCGTAACCTTCCGCACCGGCAATCCACTCCAAGCCACGTCGGTCAATCCAAAACCACCAGCGACATGTCTACCGGCACATCAACCAACCACCCGCCCGTCGTTGACCAGCCCGCGCCTGCCGCCCGGCATGCACCATGACGGCGCGGGACGCGTTCGCCGCGCCCATGCTCCTCAGCGCGCGCGGCGCCCTCCTCCTCGCGGCGTGCGTGTACCTCCTCGCGCTGCTGTACCTTGCGGTGTCGCCGTCGCGCGCGTGCGCGCTGCTGTCGGCGCTCGACGGCGGGCACACGTGCTCGGCGCCGCTCGAGGCGGACCACGCGGCGGACTGCGCGCTGACGGCGGGCACGCTGCGCGGGGTGTGCGACCGGTTCGTGGTGGCGCACGCGGCGGGGTGGCTCGCGAAGGGGGCGCTGCTGCCGCGGCGGCGGGTGCTGTGGCGCGCGTCCGTGGGCTTCGAGGCCGCCGAGTGGCTGCTGTCCGGCGCGCTGCCGACGCTGCGCGAGTGCTGGTGGGACTCGCTGATGCTCGACGTGCTGGTGTGCAACTTTATTGGCCTCGAGCTCGGGTGCCGCTTTGCCGCGCGCTACGGCGGTGGCGCGGCGGCCGGCGCTGGGGGGAGAGGTGGGGCGCGAGACGCGATTTTGCTCGCAGGGTTGGTCGTCACCGACGTCAACGCGTTCCTCGTGAAACACGCGCTCGCGCTGCACAGCGCGTCACCACTAAACGTCGCGCGCCTCGTCCTGCTCTACCTCCTCGCCATCCCGTCCGTGGCGCACATCTGCTCCCGCTTCTCCTCCTCCTCATCCCCCTCGCCCTCGCCCTCGCCCTCCCCCGCTCCGTTTGCGCATCTGTACACGACGATCCTCTTCAGCGAAATAATGCTAGCCCTCTCCTTCTACCGTGTCTCCTAACGCCCGCGCGCCCCTATCGCGGGGCGTGCAAAATGGGTCCCTGGTACCGCTGCATGGCGAGTCTCCTGATCTTGCGCTGCACGGACGGCCCGCGGTGTTCCGGGATGGGGTCGACGCGGACGTAAACGCGGCCGCGGCGCTTGCCCTCATCCGGCCTGGAGCGCGCGAAGCGCACCAGCCCCGGTCTGAGCGAGTACAGCGTGTGGTCGCGGCCGCAACCCACGTCCAGGCCCGGGAACATGCGCGTGCCGCGCTGGCGTACCAAAACGTTGCCCGTCTCCACGTACTCCCCGTCCATCACCTTCGGGCCGAGGCGGCGGCCGATCGTCTTCCGACCGTTCCTCGACGCGCCCTTCGCCTTCTTCGTCGCGTGCCGCACGCCGGAGGGCAGCGCCGCGGGTGGCGCGACCGTGCGCGCGAGACGGTATAGCGATTGCATGGTGGGGCGAGGCCGAGTCGGTATGAGGCGAGCGGGTGACGGAAGGGAGATGGCTGCGGGAACCGGAGGACAAAGGGCACAGGTGAGGAATTTGAGGAATGGAAGTTGATCACGTGTTTGACAGCTTCATGATAGCGATATGATAAAACGAGAGGCATGTTTTTTGGATATTCTTCTCAATCCGTTTTGCGTCGTCGGGATCAAAGCTTGCCGCCATCACATCGGCATCGACGTCGACGTCGCCTCTCTTTCCCGCTCACCCCGTTGCGATGGTGCAGTACCTTCTCTCCGAGTCGGCCTCAGGCTACGCCCTGTTCGAGGTGCTGGAGTCCGATGTCATCGCGTCGCAAGTCGACGCGGTGCAGCAGGCCATCATGGAGTACCCGCGCTTCTCGAAGATGGTGAAGCTGTCGGCCTTCGCGCCGTTCCGCTCCGCCGAGCACGCGCTGGACAACGCCAACCAGATCTCCGAGGGCGCGGTGTCCGACTTCCTGCACAACTTCCTGGAGACCAACCTGCCGCTGCCCAAGAAGAAGTCCAAGAAGGCCCCGTCCGTCAGCCTGGGCGTCAGCCGGGACCCCAAGCTCAAGTCCTCCATCTCCGAGGCGCTCAACGCCGCCGTGCAGATCGTCGCCGACGACGACTCGGACGAGCTGCTGCGCGGCGTCCGTACCCATTTCGATAAGTTCATCGCGGGCCTCAGCCCCACCGACGCTGTCAAGGCCCAGCTCGGTCTGGCCCACTCCTACTCTCGCTCCAAGGTCAAGTTCAACGTCCACAAGTCGGACAACATGATCATCCAGTCCATCGCCCTGTTGGATCAGCTCGATAAGGACATCAACACTTTTGCCATGCGCGTGCGCGAGTGGTACTCTTGGCATTTCCCGGAGCTGGTCAAGGTCGTGCCGGACAACATCCAATACGCGCGCGTCATCCGCGTCGTCAAGAACAAGGGCGACCTCACGGAAGAGTCCATCCCGGCCATTGATGAGATCCTCATGGACGAGCAGTGCTCGAGGGATGTGCTGGACGCTGCCCGTTCCTCCATGGGGACCGATGTGTCGCCCGTTGACCTCATCAATATCGAGCTCTTTGCTGCTCGCGTCGTCAACCTTGCAGAGTACAGAGCCAACTTGCACGACTATCTCATCTCTAAGATGAGCGCTGTCGCGCCTAACCTGGCCGCCCTCATCGGCGAGCAGGTCGGCGCAAGGCTCATCTCGCATGCGGGCTCGCTTACGTCGCTCGCGAAGTATCCAGCCTCCACTGTTCAGATCTTGGGCGCCGAGAAGGCCCTATTTCGCGCTCTCAAAACCAAGGGGAAGACCCCGAAGTATGGCCTTTTGTACCATTCCACATATATCGGCAGGGCAAAGACCAAGAATAAGGGACGGATTTCTCGTTATTTGGCGAACAAGTGCTCCATTGCGTCAAGAATGGATTGCTTTTCGGATATATCCACCGATGTGTTTGGGAAAAGACTCAAAGAGCAGGTTGAGGAACGCCTCAAGTTTTATGAGACTGGCGCGGCCCCGCGAAAGAATGCAGATGTCATGCACCAAGCTGCATTAGAAGCGGCCGCCGAAGGGCCACAGGACGACAAAGAAGATGAGGATGACACCTTCACCACTCCGAGTGGAGACAAGAAGGAGTCGAAACGGGACAAGTCATCGTCCAAGAAGGAAAAGTCCTCCAAGAAGGAAAAGAAGCGTAAGAGAGAGGGGAAGGAGAGCACGGAAAAGAAGAAGAAGAAGAAGAAGAAGAAGACAGAGTCGTAGAACTTCTTTAATCGCATTCCTCTTGTAAATGATCACGATTCGTCCTAATCTGTTGCCTGCCAGTGACTCTTTATTTTGATACTCCTAATCCACCATGCGTGTGTGGTACTTGCCCCAGCTCGGCCTGGTGTCTCCTCCGAAGAGTGTTGAGCTTTTCGCGTTGACGGAATCGAAGATCTTCCATCTCATGAGGAGATGCCTGTTCAAGTTCTTTCCTCAGAACAACGCAAAGTTGATGCTCCTCATCCTGATGTCGTTCCAACATCTGCTTCAACCCTTCGCTTGATGAGCGGGCCCGCGACACGTGCGCTGAAGAAACCAGGCTCTGCATTTGTTGCAATTGTTCCGCTTTGAGGAGCCCCTGCGTAGAACCTGTGAGATGCTGGGCAAGTGTACCCGAGTACCCGCTCCCGTATGGAGGATGTTGGGGTAGCAAAGGAGCGGGTGCACCGAGGGCCGCGTCCCTCTTCGCTATCCGGCGACGCGCTAATCGCGTCGCCTGCCTCTTGAACTTTGCGTTGCCCAATTTATACATACCGATGTACAGTTGGAAGAGTTCCTTGTCATTTTCCAAAGCGATATCCGTCAGGCAATCCTCGGTTTCTTGGTCAAAATCGATAGATGCAATGCACTCTAATACCCGTTCCTGTATTCTGTCACTTGCGCGATCGCTTTGGTGAACAAGGTCGGACTCGGGCTTCACAATGGCGTCCTTTGTTGAGGACAAGCCAGCAGCATCGTTTGGCAGGAACCTGTCTCCGTTGATGGATGATCCGAGGTTTGAGTGAACATTCTTGGCTGGCATAGGCTCCGACGTTTGTACCTGGCCTCCTCCCTGGTTAACCGTTGTGAGAGCAGCATCATGTAGACCTTGATGATCCCCTCCAGGTCTCTGTGAAACCGCTGCTGTTGCTTTACCTTGCGTATTTCCTTCGGGGTCGGGAGCAACCCGCAGGTGATCACCATGGACTGATCCATGTCGCCCATATGGCGAGTCTTCACACCTAGAAACTGGCCTGTCTGCTTTAGTTTCAGAAGGCCTGGTAGCTTCCCTCGCGTTAAGGCCGACGCTTCCATTTTTGGATCGGCCCAGACTGGCATCTACTGTGGCCTCTTCCCTCCCATTCGTGCGTAAGGACGTGGGCATAGTCAACGACTGTTGTCCTTGACTTGCCTGTGTCTCCGGAGCACCAGCGATAAGTGCAAGAAGTGTGCGCTGTTCCGCTGTTTTCGACGCCGATGCCAGCGGTTGATCCGGAAGGGGTGGAAATGGGCCTTTCACCACCGATCCATTCAGTCCTCCCTGTCCTGGGGCCTCTCCTTGATTCTGCAACATGTCGTCTATACTTCTGTGCCCTTTTCCTGAGGTAGGCGCTTTCATATGTGGCGATGGCGACGCTAGGATGGCTTCCGAGTCGTCCTCTATGACGATGACATCCGGCTCCGCGGCTACCTCTCTGAGCGGCGGGAAGCCGAAATCCTCGCGGTCTTCTTCTCCAAAGCCGTAGAAGAAGAGGGCATTTCTTCTCCTCGACCTCTTCCGGTTGCACGACTCAAGATGGAGGATAGCCTTGGACTTGCGACGCTCGTCACCTGAGCGTCGACACAGCTTGGGTGTCTCTCCACTCCAGAACGCATAGCGACATTCAAACGGCTCATGCACGGACTCTGTCAAGACGCCCGGATCTGCTATCGTAATCTCGTTGCAAGTGTGGCATTGCGACCAGTCGCCCCCCCTCTCCTTCCTGTAAAAGCCGTGTAGCGTAGGGTGCATAACAAAGTCGATCGGATTCCCCTCGCTGGCGTCCGCGATTAATCTGCGAAACCCAGACGCTGGGGCTGGCAGGGCCGGCGGCTCCACGGCGGGGTTCCATCTCTCGGTGCGATCCTTGCCCTTGACGGATCGGCACGAGTTGCAAAACCACGGTGACCCGAAGCGCATCCTCGAAGGGTCGATGCACGTGCGGTGAAACGCCAGCGGACATCGTGAGCATTCGCATAACGTTCCGCCGCCGCCACACACGGCGCACACCCCCTTCGACGACACGCCCGTCATGGCAGATGCCACCGCCGCAAACGGCGACAGGGCGGAGAGATAGGTACTTTGCGGAAAATGAAACCGCTGCGGGCGATATGAGAAGAAGATGAAGCGATCGCGGGCCGCATCATCCGACTCGACGCACTCGGCGATATTAACCAGCGGCAGAAGCGTCTTGAACGCGCCCTTCTTAGCCGTGGCTGCACTCCCCTGCACCGTCACTACGTTATCGTCGTGGGTGTTCCGCTTAGCCACCTCGGGCACCGTGCGTGCCACCGCCGTCGATGCCGTACTCGCACACCGGCATCGGTCCACCCCCCCGCACCGCGGGCACGCCCTGCGGCCAATCGTGTCCCCCGCCGCCTTGGGCCTCTTGGCGGCCTCAAACTCGTCGTCGCCGACCAAGCTCTCCAAGCTGAGCGCGCTTGCAGTCCTCTTGCGGGGCATCTTGGGGGCGCCCCTGGCGGCGGCGGCGGCGCGGGTGCGCAAGTCCTCATTCTCATCGTCGTCGCTGTCCGAGCTGCTCTCCTGCGTGCGGCGGCGGGCGTCGTGCAGCTGGCCGTCGACGCTGATGGCGGGCGTGCGGTCCGGCGCGCGCAGGCTCGTCTGCAGTGTGGACGATTGTAGACGCGCGTCGCCATCCTGGTTCTGGCCCTCCGCGCGCGACGACCGCACCGCCCGAGTTGTCATCCCGACGCCTGGATGGGGGCGTGCGGGTTACACACGGTGCAAGGTGACCGGAGTGTCTGAAGCTGGGATGCGGGGGCGGGAGTCGCGAAGGTAGGCCGATTTGCCCGATGCCAAAACGTGTATTTTGGAACAGTCATTTTTATAGAAATCTCATGCTGCGCTGCACCCCCTCAGTACAGTCAGGATCTACAAACGCTGTCCCAGCACCCTTTCCCTACACGGACGACTCGTCGGTCCCTCGGGGACATTTCTTCAGAAGTCCGCTTCCGCCTCGTCCCTTCGCGCCCGTCCAACTAACTCGTCCAACTTTCTCGTCCTCACGCTAACTGCCACCATGCAAGTCACAGAACAAGCACTCCGTCTCCAGCTAGAGGCCCTATCTTGTCCCTTCCTCGCGACCTTGGATCTATCAGGTATGTACTCGCGTTCCGCCATCCCATCCCGCTCCCTCTCTAAAACTAACACTCCTACAGACCCACTCCATCACCAAAAGCTAATCTGCTGGCTAGAGGACGCCCACATCCGTCTGCTTTCCCCGGCCGCGCGGCCCCCGCTGCGCACGGCGTCCTTCCGCCAATTCCTCCTCACCTACCTGCGCCGTCTCTCGCACCCTCCGGCAACGGACGACCTTCTCCCGGCCGTCGCGCGTCTCGCCTCCCTGGCGCTGCAGCTGCACTACGGCGACGCGCGCGCGGCGTATGGCGCGCCGCACGACCCGTGGCACGGGCGGCGCGTGCCGGTTATCGCGGATGCCGCCGACGACCCCGCCGTGCAAAAGGCTGCGGACACGCTGTGCCGAGCGGTTGGGGCGACGCCCGCGGCGCCCGCGCACGACGCGGCGCGCGTGACCGCCGCCGCCGAGGCCGCCATGCAGGCGCAGGACGGCCCGCCAAG